AAATTCCGATCATGGATTTGCTTATCCAAAATCAAAATTCTTACAGACCATTAACATACCTGACGGAATCGACACTAAAAAGTTCAAAACTTACACGTTGGATATTGGCTCTTCAAAAGTATGATACACAATTCTGTTACCGTCCAGGTTCACGTAATGTTGCCGGTTTTTTCTCCAGGATATAAAAGTTGAGAAACATTTATTGCATTTTCGGACATTGATTTTTGTTTTGTTTAGTTTTTATTTGTGTGTGTGTGATGAATGTAGAATGATGATAGGCGTTGGTGGTATGTAATAGAAATTGTTCCATTACATGGTAACGTGTGTAAGTTGCTGCCCTGCAACATTTTTTTTATTATTATTATTCTTTAAAAATCAGGATCTGACAGACGCAGAAACTGTTACAACATGCAAGACAGTTGACAAAATTAAACAAATAAGTAAATAAAATTCGGAAAAAGAAAATTTTTTAACATGAAAAATAAAATAAAATAAATAATAATAACAAAATAAAGAAAATAAAATAAATTGACAATAAAATGAAGTAATGGCATAAAAACGCAAATTAATAGACTACATGATTTTTTAGTGAGGTGATCGATAAATAAAAACTAGTTATGTGAATGATAAAGTTGTATTGAGTGTTAATATGTTTGAGGTGTCTTGTGATAAAAGTCTTTTCCTGATATTTAAATTGGGTGGCGACTTGATAGTTATGTTTTCGCTGGCGAAGGTTGTGGGTTGTAGTTTTAATTGGTGGTAGTAGAGGATGGATGACGTGGTTGTTGTTATTTTCTACTTTCTGGAATAGTCTTGAATCGAGTGTGTTGAATATCTGAGTGACGGTAGGATATGATGCAGATAGATAGTTGAAGCGGATTAGATTTTTGATGAGAGATTGTAGTTGCTGAAGTTGTTGTTATGTAGCAAAACCAGACCAGGAGGGAGCTGCATATTTGATGCGTGAGATTATGAGTGATTCAGTGATGTCGAATAATTTGATGCCTTTGAGACCATGTGAGCAGAGTGTTTTGAGTGCCTGAAATGTTTGAAAGCCTATCGTAATGATGTGATTGATATGAGATGCCATATTAAGTGTGAAGGTGAATGTGATGCCTAATATTTTTATTTGACTTGTGCGAGTGATTGATGGGTGTTCTGGAGGTAATGTTATTTTCTTGCGGCTATTGTGAATGATGAGTTCGAATGATTTATTGATATTAAGTGACAGATTGCATCGTTTTGATCATGTAGTTAATGAGTCGAGTTCTGAGTGGATGGTGTTTGAGTTAGATGATGGGATGATAAAGTAGGTGTCGTCAGCGTATTTGATGATGTGATTAGAGCTATAAAACGTTTTGAGAGTAGAAACATTGATGATAAAGGTAAATGGTCCAAGGAGAGAACCTTGAAAAATTAGGTAGAGTAGATGAAAGAGTAGAGCTAAAGAAAGTAGAAAGACTCCTATTAGAAAGAAAATTTATTATAATATTGTAAATGTTGTCGGGTAAAGGAAGAGAGGCTAACTTATTTAAAAGTGAGAAGTGATTGAGTGTCAAAAGCTTTAGAAAAGTCAAAAGCAATAAGATGAACATAATTATTGTTTTTAAGGAAAGGTGTTATTGTGGAAGTAAGAGAGATGATGGCGGATGTAGATGAACCTGTAGGGCAAAATGCAAACTGATCTTGTAATAGTGATTGGATAGATGAATAGTTGAAACATGGATAAATGAATAACCTAACGATGAATTTTTCTAAAATACGTGAAAGTATGAGGTAATTGATATTTGGCGATAATCTATTGGTGATGATGGGTATTTTGTTTTAGGAATTGGGTAAATTGTGCTGGATTTCCATTGGGATGGGATGTATGAATGCATTAAACAGTGATTTTAGAATGAATTTAAGGTGCTAGAGATGAATGGAGCGATGATTTGTAGAAACCATGCTGGTAGACTGTCTGGACCTGTACCGGATGGACAGGCCTTCGTTAGCATGTACAGGACAGAGTATGGGGTAAATTGTTGATGTTGACGACTATTGATTGTTGCTACTTTTGTTGGTGGAGTTTTGTAGGACGGGTCGATTGACATG